CGTCCATTGTGCACAAAGCAGAGCCACAAGCAAAGTAAGGCGTTATTTCACCAGCAGCACACAGGGACCACAAAACCCAGCCGTAAAAAGCATTTCAAACACATGCAGACCAAAGGAGCCAACTCGTTCAATGTGGAAAAGCATGTAACAGAAATCTGGTTTAAAAAATGATTCAAGGAGCAGCAGGTTAGTGAATGTGATTGACAGCATAATGACATCATAACCTGCCCTTTAATATAAGTCAGTTTTCACCATCAGAGTTTGAAATGGCAATTATGGAGAGCTGCTGCGATTAGTCAGCCTAGTCGACAATGTAAATGCTGAAAAGGTGTTCACGTCATTATTTCTCATTTAATTCAGTTCATTCTAATCAGGCACGGGCCAATCAAGTTTCTTTCCTCCCAATGCAGTCCTCATCTTAAGCTCGAGGCTAATTAAAACACATGTTTTCCTTCAGTTCAGCTCCGTAGTTATTGTCTCATGATGCTTTTAGCTCCAGTTGTTGGTTAGCTGGTTGGTGCTGCCGTTTTATACAATGGTGGCAGCAGCAAAGTCAGACTTGGTTCTCTCTTTCTGAGATCAAAACTGATATCCCGATTCCAGCACAGTGAACGAATAGTTGGCTATTCGGCTATTCAGGTCCAACCCTGGTACGAAAATCGACATTTTAAATACTCGGGGTCATATTTGCACTTTGCCATCTTGCATCCCAACATCAACACAAAATGAACGTCAAACAAACTATGGTTACCGTGCCTGTCAAAATAAGTTTTTTTCAAAATAAAAAAACAAGTCCAACCTGAGACGCACATTATATATTATTTATTTTTGACCAGCTGTCCGCGAGCCACTCAGAACAGGTCCGCGACACACTTTTGGGTCGCAACCCACCAGTTGAGAATCACTGCTTTAGATGATCCCAGGTGGTTTGTACACTGTGTGTTTTGATGGCAGACCACAGCAGCACATTACAGAAAAACACAGAGGCGCTCACATCTGTTTACTTCTCTCCTGCTCTCTGTGCTCACATATGGAGCATTTTATCGCCAAATACAGCCAATAAAACTGTTCTTTAACATATTTTTCAGTTTCTGTTGTTTACATTTTGTACTGTGCTGCATTTTACAATGTCAACAATTTCTCAAAATAAAATTAACTTAAATAAAATGGTTATTGAAAGAAACTGAGTATTTACATTGATTGAAATAATCAATAGATGAATTGAAAATCGTTGTTAGTGACAGCCCTGCAAATAAGGGCAACGACATCTGGTAATTTAATACTTTTAGCTAACGTGGCAAATATGTCTATGCAAATGCAGAGTTCACAATGATTACTGTAGATCTAAAAACCAGGAATTCACCAGTATGCAAATTGCCAACACCAGTTATAAATGATCAAGTGAATTCCTGTGGAAAGGGTGTTAGTAGGTGATTAAATGTGCAGTAACACGCTGCTCACACGTCTCTCTGCAGGGATTTAAACTTTTATAAGCAGCAGTGGCAGTGACTTGTGAAGGTGGGGAGATGTGAACGTGTAAAGAGCTGATCTTAATGAAGAGTTTCTACAGTTCCGCTCGGATATGCAAATGTACGAGCACACGACGGTGTAATAATTCACGCCTGTTGTTTTATGGCTTTTTTTCACATCCTCCACTGCCTTGCATTGACACTATCAACATATTTTCTGCTTTTTTAAATTTAGTTAGGCAACAATGGATTTCAAGTTCCATCTTCTGTCATCTGTTATTACCTTACTTTTCCTTTTGTTGAAGGATTTTGCTGTGGTGTCTTTTCAGTAATAATACATTTAGGCGGGTATGGTATTGAAATCACAATTATGTAGTGTCATTACCTTTGACCACCTAATGTTTGCTTCTGTCTAAGTGGATGCCAGTGCAGTAGCTCAACAAAAAGGCTTTTTTTTTTTTTTTTTTAAAGCAAGATGGCACTCTAACCAGATGTTTGGAGAGAGGAGATATCCAGAGTGAAATGTTGCCTCGAAATAATGGCAGCAGTGGTGCAGGATAAGCTCCGGGAAGAATGAGCTGCTCTAGGCTGATGTTTACTCTCATTATCTCCTTCTTACCATCTGCCTGCAGCACACCTGCCTGAAAAAGCATCAGTACCCTCATACAGTAGCCAGGGAATATTGATTAAGACTGCTGACATTTCTGCTTCCATTTCATGCTGGCTGGGTGGCAACATGCTTTCTTTCAGGCAAAAGCCTTTTTCACACACAGACCAAGACACACTTCCTCCCTTTGTGTCATGAGAGTGTAAATATGTCAGGAATATTTAAATAAAATGTATTTTTTATGAGACTTTAAGCAGTGTAGATTATATATACAGGATGCGTTTACAGGTTTCTAACAAAACATTTACATTTTCTTCCTTAATAAGGACTGGGTAAGAGTTAGTCTCATGAAGACAAAAAGGCTGGAAAGCTGGTCTCTGCATCTTTTGTACTTTATTCTGCCCATGATGAGCAGAGTCTTGGTGAGGAATCAGCACCCAGAAGACGCTTAAGAAGACCGCAGAAATGTCTATAAACGTTACCTTTCATATTCTAATATGGGGTTAATGACAGTGGCAATGAATGCAGCTTTGGCTAATTTAACTAATTAGACAGCATATAATTGGATAGAATTATACTGTAAGATATTGACATTGATTTGCCTGTTTCACCCTCCTGGCTTTCTGTGTGTTCTCTTCAAGTACTGTCAATCTGCAGTCGACCATGAAATGACAGAAGGGAGCCCAGCTGGTATAATTTCTACAATATCTAATTTAAGTGCTTTGTCAATAAGCACATTTCATAAAAAAAAATCAATATGTTCTCTTTGATGTGGCGATTAAGCACCTTCTTTAATTTAATAGCTTGTTTCAACAGGGCCTAGAAATAAATTGGTGAGATTAATTGCAGAGTGAAGTATCCATGTAACTGCATATTTGCGCTGATAGATTGGCTGTACGTTAATGACCCTGCTGTTGAAAAGCCTATAAATTCATGGCGGCAATTGCAAATATGCATTTGTTTCCTCATCTTAATTTATAGTGCATCAGTGCCAAAGCCGGTGCAGCATTGATTTAAGGCCATAATTAGCCACATTGAAGAAAATTACAACAGTTAATTTTGTTTCCCACTGAAAAGTTTGTATTGAAAAGCTGCTTAGGAGCAATCAGTCATAATTTACCTCTTTAAACATTTAGCCTATTAAAGTATTTCATGTGAGGAATGCTGAGCTTAAACCAAGATGCTTAGAGCGCTGTGGAATTAATTCTTCTGCATGATTATCAACTCATCAGCGATTAAACCTTCCCGGTGAACACGAGGATATTTTACTGGAAACGCCTTTAACCAACAAGCTATCCACCGCGTTTCCTTTCACTCAGTACATTCCTCACCTTCATGTGACCCTGAACACCAATAAGCAGGTGTTAGAAAGTGATGGATGGATGACAGACACATTCAGCTAATAACGCTATTAATCTTCTAGGTTTCCTTAATAGCAAATGGTAGTACTTAAGTAAAGATAACATATATAATGTTTTCATGTCATGTTGATATGCAAACAAATGTGCAGTGCTGCTAATACTTCATCCTTGAGAGCCAATATATTATTCAGGATGAGCTTGTTGCAGATATATTGGTAATGTCATATATAGTGACGTGTGTAAAGCTAAAAAAAATTAGCATTATCCTGCCTCAACACTGCCTGCTGCTTGTGAGGTGAGCCATATAGAGAGAACAGCTGCCTCACAGTCCACCAGATTTATTTACTGTCCATGGCTGCTTCTGCTAACTCAGAAATGTCTCAGCAAAGCACACCGTATGTTCTGCTGTTGGCTGCAAGAGTGAACACAAGAGTCTTCATGCACTCCCAGCATCTGAGGAACTGAAGATCCAGTGGATTTCTCATATTTTTGATGGCAGTGTCACCGCATCATTAGGAACATCCTTAGCGTCAGCACGTTGTCCAGCTAATGTTAGCATTAGCATTGATTAAATGCTCACAGTTGGAAATTGTAAATTTGAGGACATTCAAAGATGGTGGAAACTTTGAAAGATATTTGAAACCAATAAACAGGGACTGCATGTCGGATATTGAGTTCTCATGTTGCCTGTTGAGCGTCAGTGCTGCCTATTCTCAACCGGTGTTTACGATTGTTCACTTCTCTCCTGCCCCCTGTGCTCACACTTATTACACTTTAATACAGCCGAATTTCCAATTAAGCTATTTTCGTTAATATATTTTTCTCAGACAGTGAAACGAGTACAAAAAAGTTTTAGCCCATTAACATGACATTAACTAACAGTTGCTGGGCCGCCGCTATAGCTTACGTGGTTGAGCTGGCGTCCCATGTACAGGGGCTATAGTCCCCGATGTAGTGGTCATGGGTTCAAATCCCGCTCATGGCCCTTTGCTGCAAGTCCTTCCCCCATTCTCAACTGTCCTATCTAATAAAGGCAAAACGGCCAAAAACATAACTTAAAAAAACTCCGAAGAACTAGCAGTTCCATAGCCATTGCCAAGCTGCTCCTCTTAACTGCTAAATTACTGATTTTATAACTGCAACGTGGGTTTTTTTAAAAAAAAGTTAAAGGCTACAGACTGTCATAGTCTCTTCATGTTTATGTCAGATGCCATGTGGTCAACTGTTTTGATCTGCACTGTCAATCAAAGATGCAGAGAGAGTCTTCTTCCTGAAGGGGGCGTGTTCAGTAGCTACAGACACTGAAACAGCCCATTTTAGAACATAGCTATAACCAGGGGTTATAGGGTCATGCTAAATGAAATATCTTTGCAGTATTTTGTGTAAAAATGTAAAGACACATTTTGAGGACAGGTGATACTTTGATTAATTTGTTGAAATGGGCCAAATGTAGATATCGACCTTAAACATACCTGTAAATTTTCTACACGTCTTGCAGAATTGAAAGTGAGGTACCTTTAAGCCACATTAATGAAGTTCCATGTTTCCCTCTCTCGTGTGTAGGTGCTGAGGAAACTGCAAGCAGAAAAGCAGAAAAACTGCAAGCTGCGGAAAGACTCGGTGGTGGAGGTCGACAGGATGCTCAGCCAGTTGTTCATTTCTTTGTGAATGGATTAGAAGAGGTCAGTATCCTTACAGCCGACACTGTCAAACTGCGGTCGTCTTTAAGGCCGTCGGGTCACAACAAGCGCACACACAGAAGACTCCTTCAGACAGCATTTGGTGTAGAAGGTTTCTCATGCACACCATTTGATTATGACCTAGTTCTAACATTGGCTAGTTGGTATTTATGACTTTAAAAAACACACTTGATGTGCACTGCAACGTCCTCTGCATGCAGATACGTGCTTAACTTCATTACACGGACAAATTAAATCTTACGTCTTCTACTCTTACATCCAGTGTGAGTTAAAAGTGGCCTTTTCCTGCCCGCATGATGGAATTATTCAGCATATTTGTTCCAAGTCTCCTGAACCACTGAATCATTATTGATGGTGTACGGAGACACAGAGCTGTGAGTTCATTAGCTTGTATAACACGGGTAATTGTATGTTCCCGTGAGGAGAACTGCTGGACTTGAGATACACACCCCCATGCACCGCTATTAGAATCTCGGGATAATCACACACCATTTCATACCACGGCCGATGTTTGAGGCCCTTGTGTCACATGGCCAGCGTGCATCATTTGTATGGTTTTGAAACCTCGGAGTATTCATGTATGAGGTGAGGTTTGTTGCCTAGCCTTGTACTGTTTGTTAAAGTATAAAAAAGGTAATTGTATTCAGCTGTGGTGCTTTGGTTATGAAACACTTGCACATGTTTCACCAGAGCTAATGATGACATTTAGCCAGTTGCATGGCTCGTTGTTTGGTGGCTATCATGAAAAAGAGGAGAGGAGAAAAGGGAGAGGAGCTGATCAGCGCAGGAAAGAAAAACATTTTATCTTTAACATTTTCAACTTTTGCACAAATGCAGGCATTTACAAGCACAAAAGACCCCCCCCAAAAAAGGCTTGGAATTACAGCTTCTCTGGATGATAACAGCTTTCAAGCTTGACATTTTGTCTCGGAGCTTGCTCTCAAATGCCTTATTAGAAAAATATAAAAAAATGTGTGGATTTCATGTCCAGTTTAGTAACTGACAAAAGTAGCGGAGTCATTAGGGTCATGGAAACCTGTGGTGTCTGACAACAAGATCATGTTTCCCAAGGATTATAACAGTAAGTGCAGACATGAAAATAACATAATTCACTTTGAAAATGTAAAGTTTGCTTTAAGAAAGTTAGATAAATTATAAGCCTACCAGTTGTGTGCTTAGCTCAGCTATTTATATCATTGTTATATATACAGTCGTGACTTGATAATCTGACCCTTAACAATCTTAAAACCTTGCTATCCGACAGGTTTTCAGGAAAAACGAATGGAACCCATCAGAAATAGACGTAACATACCGACAGCCTTGGATTCTGACTCCGACATGACATTTTATGTCACAAATAAGGATAACGGCGTATTATCTGGCTTAACAATCCGACACATTTACTTACCTTTGATGCCAACAGACGGGCCCGTGCACAAGCGCACAAGTCAGTTAGGCGTGAAATTCAGCGATGCGTAGTGTTCTAACAATACACTAGTTATTATGACAACTATAAACAATTAACATTAACAACAGATTACCCTTCAAGCATCAAGCCCTCCTTGTATCTCGACCTCCGTCTTGACAATCCGACAGCCTTGCTATCCGACAGGTTTTTAGGAAAAACAAACAGAACCCTTTAAAAATAGCCTTAACATACCGACACCCTTGGATTCTGACTCCGACATGACATTTTCTGTCACAAATAAAGATAACGGCGTATTATCTGACCTAACAATCCGACAAATTTACTTACCTTTGATGTCAACACACACACAAGCGCACCGGTCAATTGGACATGAAATTCAGCGATGTGCAGTGTTCTAACAATACACTAGTTATTATGACAACTATAAACAATTAATATTAACAACAGATTACCCTTCAAGCATCAAGCCCTCCTCGTATCTCGACCTCCGTCTTGACAATCCAACAGCCTTGCTATCCGACATAAAAGAAGGTTTTACATTTAGCGTCGGATTATCAAGTCATGTCTGTATATATATACTTACTACTATATATATTTATTCTAGGACAAAACACACCAAATAAAAACCCCAAAACCAGAATTGGTGTTTCTATGTTGCCATTTCCCTCCTAAGTACTGAATTCTAGTTGCAGCACTTGTAGATCTTGCGCACTAAATCCTATTACAGCCAGATTTGTTTCTGTGGTTTAACATTGGTCGGCTTTTCCTAACTTTTAGCGTCCTCTGGCATCTCCTGTTTCTTAAATCCACAGTTTGTTTCTCTGGTGTTGTAGGACAAGCACCTGGCAAGACCTGCCTCTCAAACGATGCCTATATTTTTCTCTTGTCTTCCCTCTGTTTGATTAAGAGTTTGCCTAATCCCTCAGCAGACCTCAGTTATAAGCTTTTTGGTAATTACCTGCTTAATCCTCCAACTAGAGATAAAACACACAGGCGCATTAACTTCAAAGCAGTTTATTCACTTATCAGCTGCCTCTAAACAAAGCCGTATTATTGAGCACGATGCAGGTTTACGTGTTGCTGTTGGTCTGTTCGCTGATCATGCGCTGATCCTTTAAGTGATGCAGGAACAAAGGTGGTTGTACCTTAATTACAGGCCCGAAGTTACACCGAGATTTGATCTTAAGTGCATGTTTGCAGGTTTGTGTGACCAGATGGATAACACTCAGAACCACCACAGTGTTGCTGCACTTGTTTGGCAATTAACTGATTTAAAAAAGTATTTTTTTCAGTAAACATTCTGTAGTTTCATTTTTAGTTATGAGTTGTTTTTGTTTGTTTGTTTTGTTGTTTCATCTTGATTCATAGCAAGCGAAATATTTTTGGGTTTGGTCCTGTTGGACAGCAGTACAACCCATGTGTAGGTGTACCACTGGGCTTTAGGGAAATGTGATTTTTCTGTATTTTTTTAAAGCATTTTATTAGACAAATGTGTCATCAACGATAATGATATTCTGGAGGATAATTTGTAATTAAAATGTTGGTTATTTGCAGCCTTAATGTCATCAGATTTGGTTACTTTTAAGACTGTTTTAACAATTTGTTTAAGAAAAAAAGGACCTTGACAGCTAATTTAGTGAGTGGTGGACCACCATTGTTACCCCCATGAATGTTTTCAACTTGATGAAGAAGCGACACCTCCTTAAAAGCTTTTCTATGCAAATTAACAATTTAACGACTGGCCTGATGTCAGTTCTGGTGCTCAGCTTTGTATCAGCATTTAAGGTAGATTTCCAAACAAGATATAAGATGAGGAAAATGCATCTTCTGAAGAGGCAAGTTAGTGTTCTTAATGTTTTCCACCAACAGTCTGAAGACATTGTTTCAGTAACATATTGTGTAATTGTAACTGTGGGGGTTGTAATATGTGGAAAAGGAGATTTATAGTAAGTCTACTTCCATATGAAATGGTTGCGGGATAAAGATGCAAGTTGTTTATTTCTCCCCTGTCAGTTGTTGCCTTGAATTCACCCTGGTGCCTACACAGTATCATAATCAGGCTCAGAACCACAACAGACACCCACCATGCATATGCACACACAAACACACACACACACACACACCGTCCCATCGCCACAGGAGCTAACATGCCTCACAGCTTCGGCATAAGCTGATAATTTACAGGCAGTCTCAAACCCCTACCTTACTTCACCCATGAAGGAGGGCAGTGAAATATCATGAGTTTAGTTCGAGCTGCAACTTCCTGCACCTCCTGCACACCAGACTTCAGCTCCAATAGTTCCCCAAGGATAGCTCACAAGCACTCGAGCTTTTATTGCTGTGATGACTGCTTGTGATTTTTACGCCAGAGCAGGAGAAGAAAAACAACTCCATTCACCCATCCCGAAGCCCAGCGGTGCCGCAGTTTTCACATGTTGTAAATGTTGTACATTGTGCACTGGGGACCAGGACAGAGACTAACAGCTTGTTTGACTTGAACTCGCTGTTGAAGAGATTTGATTTCATGAGACGCTTGTAAAACGCCGAAGCCTTTCTCTTCATTAACAAGCAATTGCGGTATCTGATGCCTGCTAGAATTTCCCCAGCCTCACTACTGGAGATTTAAGGGATAAAGTCATCCGCATATTGGCATGTGCTTATCAAAAGAGGGCATCGCTTGCTGCATTAGGAGATACATCGCATATTGCGGTCCAACACAGCTCAAAGGCACATGTTCCCAGTCAAAGTTTAAAGCCTTTGATGATGTGCAGCAGCAGCAGAGAAGCTGTGCATTTTCAGGCATGCGAGTGCCCTGGGACCTCGGGGAATCATGACTGTGAAGTTGCTCGACCTGTCAGACTGTGAAGCTGATGTTCGCTCAGGCCACTCCAGCGTGAAGCTGTCAGCAGTAACATGGAGGAGCTGTGAACTCGATATCATTAACAGCGTCAGATGTGGTTTACCAGCAGTTTGTCATTGTTGCTCGACTGCAAGGGAATCGTTTTGAAGCTAAACATGAACATGATGCCTGTTTTTAATGCTGTGATTATTGTTATTGAATAATATTGCCTTTTTTAGTCGAGCAATCATTTGCCAGTAAAATATCCGAAATTGGTAAAAATGTTAATCCCAGATTATCAAAGCTCCAACTGATTATTATCTGAGGGACATAAAAGTCAAAACACCACACACGTTGGAATATTCAGATAAAATTATTAAAATGATAATCAATTCTAAATTCAATTCTGAATCAATTCTGTTTTCTGTTTTTTTTTTTTTTTTTGTTGTTTGTTTTTTAACCAATTAACTGTTGTTTTGCCATTTTTTCCGGTTTGGTAAATTACAGGATATATTTAGTAAAATCACTGAAAAATTTATTTATATGTTGGCTGTATTAAAAGAGACCACAACAGTTTAAAAAACAAAACAAAACAAAAATAAAATCAGTATATTTATGAGGAGTATTTAAGTCTTTTCAATGTTTGACTGTAAAATTGTACAATGTCTTAAAAGCAGACAAAGAATATAGATATATTTTACAAACAAATGTGCA